TAAGTGGGAATGGCTTTATTAGCAGCACCTTGCAGCAACTTGGGCTAATTTGTCCTCCCTCCTGACTAACATGCAGGTAGCCCTTCAGTTGCCTTAATTTAGCCTTTTAATTTGGATAAGGATCTTCCTAGCTATTGATCACCAGAGTTGATGACCATTAATAATTTAAAACATTGGTCTCTGAGGTTAATTCTTTTTTTCCCAACCTGTAATGGAGGATGTTGGTAACCGCTCAGCAGCAGCAGGATGTAACAAGCAATCAGGGCAGCAGACGTCCAAATGGGGGACTGTAACTTCATACCTTCTCCAAGCGGAAACTTGCTGCTTAAAACTTGCCTTGTATTTTTAAGGATCAGCCTCATAACTTTGGAAGCGAGTAACAGTCCATGTTTGGAACTAGATGATGCAGGAAGGATAACATCCTAATTGTTTTACTTGAAAATATTTTTCTCTTGTGTGCACACAAAATGTCAGTCCTCCTCTTCCCTCACACTTGTCATTTGGAGAACTGTCTTCTAACGTAGCTGTTGTTGCTGTACATCTCTTCAGCTGTGGGCAGTGGCCTTGGGTTTTGAGCCTGCAACATCTTCCCTGTGCCCACAGAATGTCTGGCAGTCTCTCTCAGAAGGAGCAATAAAAATGTCCCATCTATTTCCAGTACCAACAGGTTTTATCCCACACTTTGGACAGAGACTAGCAGGGACCTTTCTATTGGGTTCTTCCTTGGGTAGAAATTAGATGAGCCAGTTTTGTGGTGCCCAGGAACTTTGACAGAAGGAATAGTAGTGATCCAAAGGAGGCCTTTTAAAGAGTGGCCGGAGGGCCCCATGCCCCACAGGTTGCAGGCCCCAGGCTGCGCACTAAGCAGGCTGCATGCCACAGGGGTTGCAGAGGTCCCCAGGACTCCTGCCACGAGCTCTCTGCTGCCCCATGAACCCTCCCTCCTTGCTGCCACCACTCTGTTAATACAATTGCACTTACAAGGAGTGTAAACAAGCCTACAAATGAGTTGTTTCTTCCCTCATGATTTCAAGTCTCTAGTCAGTTCTGTGCTCCAAGAAACTCTGGTCTCACTGTTTTGCTTTGTCTCCCAGCTGCTCACTGTAAGCTTCTGGTGTCCCATGGTTTAGCTTCTGATTGGCCTTTGCTAAGTGGCTCGTTGCCTTGGCTAATGGCTTCTATTGTTTCCAGTGCTTACTGGTCTTAAAGCAGCTTACATGCACCTTCATTTAGCTAAGAAGAATGGTGCATAGCACACCTCCAAACTTTAAACAGGTCCATTTGTCTGCCTTATATGGCTTAATACTGAATACACTGAATTGGTGAGGGAGGCCAGTGAGACAGAAACATGGAAAACAGGGCTAGAAGGGACCTTATCTAGTCTATCGAGGCAAGATCACCTGTCTAAACCACCTCAGACAAGTGTTTTCTAACCTGCTCTTAAAACTACAAGGAAATTCCTGTTTCTGTAATAGTATTGTGATCATGTTTCCTCCTTTCCAGCTTTAAATAAAAAAAAGAGTAAGTTGACTATGCCAAATCGCTATTGGCTAGAAGAATATTTCCTGTACCTCAGAAACCATCCCTCACAGAAGGCTGACATCGGTGAAGAAATCCAATGTGGTCTCAAATGTGCAAGTGCAGCATTTAGACCCCTGAAATAACAGATATTCGAAGATTGCAATATCAGATCCAAAATCAAGTTCATGGTTTATCGAGCATTTGTGATCCCTACCTTGTTGTATGGAGCTGAGACATGGGCAAAGTACAGAAGACATGGTACTTCTCCAAGAACTTTAGATCAACGCTGCCTGTGGAAGATCCTCTGAATCCAGTGGGAAGACAGATGCACCAACCTTGACATCCTCCTGCAAACAAATGCCATGAGTATTGAGGTAATGATCATCTGACATCAACTTTTTTGGCTGGCCATGTCATCTGGATGTCTGACTCCAGACTTCCGAAGCAAGTTTTATTGTCCCAGCTCAGCCAAGGCACATGCTCAAAGGCAAGAGGGGCAGGGCAGAGAAAGCACTTCAGGGATTTTCTCATGGCTAATTTAAAAAAAATGCAACATTGATGTCAGCTCATGGGAAGCTGTCTCCCAGGCCCACTGCAAATTAAAGAAAAGTCGGCTGCAGGGATCTCAGTACTTTGAAACCTCAAAACAACAGGAGATGGAAAAGCAGGAGCAGCAGAAACAACATATCACAGATCAAATCAAGAATCCAGCACCATCCACCCCACATGGACATACATGTCTGAGCTGCAGTAGAGTCTGTCAATCCCAGATAGGCCTCATCAGCTATCTTCAGACACATAGATAAGACAATCATGGAAGACAATTATCCTCTACCACGAGGGACTGCGGAAGAAGATTCCTAAAATAAGCTTAAATTATGAGTAGCCAGAGAGACCTATTCAACCAGGTTGAGATGGAAGCAATGCTTATGTTACAGATATGATAAAAGATCGTGAAGAGAGCCAGGAAATTCATTTTACAGTGGAAAAAAAAGATTGAGATCAGTTTAAGTTACAAGCCTAGTTTTCCTCCTCTACCGTACATACCAATATTTATGTACATAGGGCATGTTCTGTTCCATGGTGGGATTTGAGGATTGGGGATCAGATCCCAGTTGCATCTTTTCTACTTGTCAGTGCAGGGTTGCCAAGCATCTGTACATTTATGGACAGTTCATATGAAAAAAAAAGCTTTAAAACAAACAAAAACAACATTGAAATGAAACCAGAGACAAGCCTTGATGCACAGACACAGCAAATCTCCCTGCCTCCCTGAGGTCCTGGCACGGCCAGAGGATATGGGGTTGACAGCCCTGTGCCCCTCAAGGCCTCCATTTTACCAACATGCATAAGTGTCCCAACTCCCTGCATAACCAGCACTTTGCAGCAAGTATTTGCATGTGCCACTTACTCTCTTTCCTGAAGTCATCTATCTACAGCAGGTAGAGTAGAAGGTACTCTACTGGATTGTTTTCCAAAAGCAAAACCCACCTTTTTGTCAAAGAGGGACAGAAGCAACGAGAGCTTTCACGTGTTTGCAAGGGGCAGGTTTGGACTTTACAGTGCCTTAGCATAGCTCAGGTTCAATGCCTACTACACATCCCCATGAGCATTTAGCCCACCGTGTTAGAAAGAGAATGTCCTCTACTGATTTCTATATCACTTCCTCAAAAATGGAGTGGGTGCCAAGAACCAGCTGAGGTTGAGTAACTGATCAGAGCCATGGTTTAAGATCCTGGTGAATATTCATAGGTGTACATAAAAACATCTTGCTGTATTATATGGACTGTGCAAAAATTATGGAAATACAGTAGCAAAGAAAAAGCAGTAAAAAGAGATAATATAGGGAGCAGAAAATCCATCATATTATCATGGTAGATATAAGTATGGGTAGAATTTCAGCATGACTGAACTTTGCAAAATTGACTCCCAAGTGCTGGAACTATGAGACTATGGTTAAATACGTATCTACATACAGGAGAGGACATGAAGCAATCAATCCTCCAACCCATTTAGAAGAGTATGAAGACTCCATCGTATAATGACTATAGCATGGTTGGAATGCAAGCTGAAGAAAGGTGAAGGAACTAGGCATGTTTAGTCTGGGAAGCAGGAATAAGCGATCTCAAATGTCTAAAAGGCTGCCAGAAAGATGGAAAAAATTATTCTCTCGCTACAGCAATCAGGTCAGCAGGGCACAAAGCAGAAGGTTTAAATGGTAACAGATTTAGATTACATCTTGTGGGGGAAGAGACTACTTCCTAACTGCAAGAGCAATTGGGCACTGGAATTAGTATAAGCCTCCGTGCCTTTCACAATAGCATATGTATTATAGCAACTATTCTTCACTATGCTATAATAAAGTATACTTAAGAAGGAGCTGGATGGGCAGAGGCTTGAATTCTGACTTGATGTCCCATGAGGTCACTTCCAACTCTTAAGCTGGCTTCCCATTTGTAATTAGCCTGTCTTTGGGCTCACTCATTATTGCAGCGCAATGCAGTATCATTTTTCTCCTAGAAGCTTGCTCACTTTGTAAGGAGACTTCAAACAAAAACTACTACCTGCACTGCAATTTCCTTTGTGAATCTGGCAGTCCCACAATATTTTTGATCTAGTTTTTCAATAGAATCGAATTTAAGTCTCTTCCAGAACCAACCTGAGGAGTAAGAAATTCAGTACACTAAGTAGACAGGACAGAGCAAATCTGAGAAAAAGAGTTTCTACACACCAAGTCAGTTTTGTGCCCATTAAAAAAAGTGTTCTATTTCCACCCAAGTTTGTTAATATTAGAGGACTGCAAAAATGTTGCTGTTCTAAGGGAATAGGCTTAAATAAACATGTTTCACACAGGTGAGCTTGGCTTATCCTGGCTTATAGTGCACAAGGGTAATAGGCTACAAGTAGGGTGATGGTATGTCTTACTTGGGCTGGGACAGTCCTGGATTTCATAGGCTAGTCCCAGTTAGTTGGCCAGAAATCCTGGGCTGGAGTCTTGCAAGGAGGCAGAGCAGCATAGTGTGCCAGGCAGGTGGGTGAGCAGGCGTACCACTACTACTCTGTGGGAGTAAGGCAGATGGATTGGACCTGGCACATGCAGGCATGGTGGTACCTACTCCAGTCTGCCTGCTCTGCTCTTGCACAGCAGCAGTGGTACTCAACTGCCCGGCACGCCATGCCACTTTGCCTTCTTGCTGGGACCAGCCTACAGAATCCAGGACTTTCCTGGCCCAACCAAGATACCCCATC